ACGTCGAACGCAGATGTCCCGCTAATTTTCGCCACAAGACATAAGAATCTCGTCGTGGAATCTTACGAGCGAATTTATAAGCGCGTGGGTGCGCTTTACGACTCATCTGGGCACGATCGACCGAGCATTCGTTGTCCCATGTAAATTGCAACTGTAACGACGGACCCGTGCCGCGAATGTTATCGGGCGGCCATTGACGCAAAAAAGAAGCGCGCCCAATGCGAATTGTTCCGGCGAATGAAAAAATACCGGACGCCTCGATGCGAGTGTAATTGGAACAGGTATAAATCTCGTCCCGAGGGACAATAGTTTTTTTTTCCGGATACTGTATTTACAATGCATCTCGGTATCTGCAGCTGCCGCGTACGTCTCATTAATTAAGCCCCCTCGGTTCCGCCCCTCGTCCCTTTGCTCGCCTCCTCGTCGTCCTTCGCAGCGCGTGCAAGTGGCTCTCTTTCTCCGCCTACACTGACCGCTGCGTTCACCAAACGCCATCCGAACGTAGGGACAAACCCAGGCTCGAGCGATCTCGGAATGCCGCTCGCGAGCTCGAAATCTCCAAACTCACCCTTACACCTCGGAGCCGCTTTCTCTTTCTCTCCTTCCTCCCCCCCCCCCCCGTCTCTCTCAATTCTACCAACAATGTTCTTCTCTTTACATTTTTAATATGCTTTTTCAACCAACGTGTTTTACTTCGTCTCAACGATTTAGGAGACGTTTCCCAGAGCGTTTAATAAATAACGATCTGATCTGATCTCTCCCTTTCTCTCTCATGTTTTTATTCTTCTATCCTTTATTTCTCTTATCTTTTACGTTTTTATTGCACACTTTTCTTTCTTTTTTTTTCCCATTTGTTGTCTTTAGTCTTCTGTGTGAACTAATATCTCGTACTTCATTGGAACTTTGTTTTTCACGCTTAAAGGAACATTGTCCCAGAACATCTAATAACGATTCACGATTCCCCCCCCTCCTTCGCTCCCTTGAATTCGTTAAAAATTCGCGCGCAAGATCACGACATGCTAGACAATTACGGTTATAACAGGCTATTATGCTTCTTGTTGAGCGAGCAAGTCCGGGTACGAGTTGGGATAGCAGCTCGTGTACGCATTCCATCTTTCCCGCTTTATGAATATTTATCGGGCTAACTGTACGCCGAGGCGCCGTCTCGCGTCCGTCTGAAACGCGCGCGCTCGTTGAAGAATGCATCGCCGATTACACCCGGGCGTACAAATGCGAGCCGGCCGCTCGCGATAATTATTCGTTCCGGACGAGATGCAGCGGGTCTTCGGGAAGACGTACGGGAGGGCGGCGGAGGGGGAAAGGGAGACGGGGAGTTTTGTAAAACGGCAATAATTCCATCGCGTTCCACCGGTGGCTAGCTGTCGAGGAATAATGACGGCCTTAAACACCGCAAGTGATAGCCCCGGAGACACGATAATACCATACAATTACGTCCTCGTGTACTTTACGCGACGTACCAACACACGCGAGGCACTGATTTTATTAGGGACGCTGAGCATCGTATTTGTCAGTCGGCGGATAACGAACCGCCATTTCCGTTAATAATAACCGCGAAGGGGGCCCTCGTAGTCCCTCCGCGAGCTACCTACGCCGACGATGAGTACCCGCGGATACAAGTTTTCAATATTATCGTCGCTTATTATCCCGCTAAAGACCGCGGTCGCCTTCCATCTAAGAGCGCCGTAAAACATAATCCCGCAATGACGGCGTGTAAATATCTGTTAATCGTTTGTCGACACCGCTGCGTCCGACAGGCGTCCGCGGTAATTTCGGCGTTAATGCGGTAAACGGAAATTTATCGATTGTCGCGTCGAGCCGCCTGCATCTGCCGCGAGAATTCTGGGGATTACGCTCGTTAAATTACAATCCTTCCGAAAGGATTTTTTAAGTAGGTAGGTTTTCACGGCTCTTACGAATGTACAGTTAATCCGGCACTCGCCGCCGCGGTGCACAAAGTTGCGTTGGCGATTAAACGGATCGCGGTCGCGGTAACCGATCGACAAGGGGCCTCATATTTTATCGCGAGTTATGATCTCCGTTGCAAGGCGATCGCGCCACAACTCATCGGACGGCCGCGCGTCCGTCGAAACTAAATCATTTTTGCTCGATCTCGTTTACCGGCGTTTTCTTTGCACAGCTGGCCGTGAGGGGCCAGCGTATACGAGATCACTGAATACGTTCTCGCGCATGTGAGAGATGAATTACGCCCGTTGCCCACCTCGCGGAGATTTTACGACCGCCGATTAATATAATTTCAATGCGGGCGTGCACACCAGGTTCCGCGTGTGGAACGTGAGTGGAAACGAGTACGAGCGACACTCTTCTCGGCGAGCGATCGCGGACGTAAACGGGAGCGCGATTTTCGCTCGGAATTGATTTTATCAGGTCCAACCAAATTTATTCGCGAGGCTCGTGAAACGACGGCGTCATAAACCGCGAGCGCGCGTGCGATATGCAAATACTTGGAGCCGCGCGGTTGTTCGACGATATTTTATCCGCTGCGACCTGGAAGTGTCTTAGGTAACCGCGAGGCTGCCCACCGACCTGCCGCGGGAAAACGCTCGAAATCGAACGAGCGGCAAAAGTCAGCGCGTCCCGCAAAATGTCGGATAATTGGTGAAAGTGCACGCGCGAAAACCGCGCGAACTAGTGGATTATTATTTACAACGTCGGCAATGTGATTTCTCGCGAGGTAGAAGTAGCCTCTCGAAAAAGCAATAACTGGTGGAATGCCAGACCGAGGGGTCCAGGCGGTGGCGATGGCAGCTGGCCGATACGCCGCCAAAGTGCTCTCGTTATTGATTTACGTTGATAGCCTCTCTTGGATCTTCGCAGCGCAGCTCCTCGCGTAACTGCCGTCTCAGTGTAAACAGTGCGTAAAATTACTTTTGCGTAGGGTCGTGGCGTATATCCGTACAGGTACAGGTCAGAGAAAATTGCCTTTACGTTTAAGGTTTACACGAGCCTAGGCTCTGCTTTCTATTCCCTCTCGCCCCGTCGTAAACCACTGTTCTTCTGTTAGATTATTTCGTGTATATATATTATACACATTGATATATGTATACGCAAAACGTACGTGGTACGCTCAAAAAATATCTTACCACCCCTACGGAAAAGAAAACGCTCAAGTTTTGAGTGTTAACTCTCGATTGTCCGAATTTACTCTCAAATTTGGGCGTCAACACCCAGATTTAAATATTTACACCCAAATTTGAGAGTGAATTCGGACAATCGAGAGTTAACACACTCAAAACTTGAGTGCTTTTTTCCGTAAGGGTAGCGCAGGTATTATAGATTTCTAGGTGTTGCAACAAAAATTTGTCGCTATTTTGCGTATCTGTCATAAAATTGTTTGTAGCCTACAAAATTTATAGTAGCAACATTCTGGTAATATCTTCTGGAAAGTTTAAGTTTGATGACTAAATATTAATCCTTCAACTAATCTGAATTCTTCGATGTCGCCAGGAGTAATTAACAACGTCGGAGTTTTCTTGACGATACCTGGCATCTTTAATAATACAGAAAATTTATTGCGAAAAATATTACCTCAGCCAGGGTTTGAACCTGGACTTTCCTACACTCTAGGCGGCCGTCTCACCAATTCAACCACCGTGGCATACCGAGACGTCCGCCTAGAGTGTAGGGAGGTCCAGGTTCAAACCCTGGCTGAGGTAATATTTTGCGCAATAAATTTTCTGTATTATTAAAGATGCCAGGTATGGTGAAGAAAACACTGACGTTATTAATCATTCACATTGGATAAAAATGAATACCATGGCTGGAACAATCTTCGTAAGGAATGTGGTAACTGTTTACGTATCACAATCAAATATAATCGATGGGCGCCAGAGAAAGACTTTCTTCCCAATTCGTTAACAGTACAGGTAGAAATTCTACAAAACATATGCGATTTCGTTATTTCTTCGTACCTAGAAAATTGTTGCTGCAGTTGCAAGATCATCTTTTTGAGTGTAGAACTTGGAGAACCAATTGGACAAATATTGAGAAAGTTTCACTGACAATCTTTTTATTTTCAAGTTACACGATTGACGATAAAATACAAAGATACAAACTTGCATGCGAAATGAATCTTGATACACGCCGAATCGCCTCAGACGTGTAATATCCGTCGAAAATGTGTTAAGAACCTCAAATCGTACGAATGCAAGTAAATAATTATGCGCAGCTGCGATTTTAATTGGCAAGCACGCGTGCTGGAGAAATTAAGAAGCGCATACCGCACTCTCGTAAGAGCGGAATTTAACGTCTTGGGTGTTCGTTGCATAATTTGTATCCTGGTTCGCCGATACGTTTCGAGCGCGATGGAATCGCGACGTGACCTTCTTTTTTCCGTCTTCGGGCACGAACACGTCGGCCGACGCGGTGACGCTCGTCTCGCCGAATTTCTCGAGTTCCAACTAATTACGCGTTGTAAACGCGAGCGTCGGGAAATTTATGTCCCTCGTTTCGTCCGTAGGGTCGCTTCGCGCGATCTCGGCTTCAGGTGCACCGAGCAATTACGCAATATTTCCAACTGCGAATCGGCGCGGGCGCTCGGCGGCGCCGCTCGAACGAGCGTCGTTACGTCTTCATATCTCATACGCGGATATCGGACCCGGGACCGAATTTCGAAAATTACGCGGCCCGTGTAGCTGCCAGCTAACCGATATTTCACGTCTGGGCTTCCCCTGTTTTATAGACGTATAAAAAAAGGGGAGCGCGGCATGTATATCGAGGTATTATTTAAATTTACACCCCGCTTTAGCTTTGTCCGCGAGGCAGTCTTCTACTTCCATTTAATGGCGGACGCTAGAAAATTATATCGCGCGTCCCAGGTCGGCCGGGCGAGAAATACCGAGCCGACGACATCTTTAAGGCCCGATTCCGCCGATTCCTCGGGCGGAGTTTAGCGAATCATAAAGTCTCCGCGCCGTTGAATTTATCGAAGGGCGAGGAACGCACCCTCATACATCACGCACCTTTAAATTAGATCACATAATAAATTCCCTTCCCGGAAGGTTGGTAGCAGCATTCTGTATGCATAGGGTAGCCAGCACCTCGCCGGTCTTACTTGTTGTTTGCCGCTGCAGGTTCTTGCTGGCGGCACCGACATACCAATTTCGATTCCGCGCGGCTGGGCCTCTGCCTCGTATCACAATGCTTTTAAACCACTATAATCGCCTCGAACAGCGATCATACCCCGGAGAATCTATACACGAAGATCATTTTCTTTTCAAATTAAACCTAAAAATCATGTAATCGTGGGACAACGTGATATTTTGAACAATTTTATGAGAGTTCTTGAAATTTTACTAGTTTACTAATACGATTTACTAGTAATATGTATGGTAAAATTTCAAAAAACTCCCATAAAGTTCTTCAAAATACCATCTCACAATTACATGATTCATAACTGTCAATTATTTTAGTGAAATATACACGGAAATAATTTGCTTTTAAAATTTAACCAAAAAGTCATGTAACTGTGTTACAACACGGTATTTCGAAGAATTGTATGAGAGTTTTTGAAATTTTATTAGTTTACTAATACGATTTACTAGCAAAATGCATGGTAAAATTTCAAAAAACTCTCATAAAGATTAGAGTTTCCCTTCAAAACGCCATGTTGTCCCGTGATTACATGATTTTCATTAAGAGAAAATTCTCTCGGTGTAGTTTACCGTCGATATACTGCATATTCCGTCAGGCTTTTCACAGTGCACTTTGTTCTACGGTTTATTATTTTCTCTACGGACAAGTGTTACGCGTTATGTCGCGAGAGAACGGAAGAAAAAGCGAGACAGAACAGCCGCGCAGAAACGATCTTCCGATTGCCTCACTCGTTCACCGGTATTACTTCGCCCGAAGCGCGTTCAGTACGTTCGTCTTTACACGCTCGTTCATATCTGCTCGAGTTTCACCTGTTCGTACTTCCTCGAGGTAGCCGGCGATTCCCATCTCGTGCAAAGCCGGTTCCATTGATTTGTGTTTAATGGCGCCCGCGGGCACGCGGCGGTTGCGCCGTTGTTGCGCGAGGAAGCTGAATACGACTGTCTGACGAGAATAGAGGCGATTAGACCTATTGTACGGGAGATATTCAGCGGCTAAAGTGATAATTTGCGATGCGATTAAGACGTGGGATTATAAACTATGTCGTGCCGCGTTCCGTGCGTGACTCGTCCGCCATTAAAGTAACGTCCGAATCACGCGAGAGGTGCCGGGTTAATTTGCGAATCGTGTTATCCTTGAGAGCTGCTCTGAAATAATTTTTGAAACCACCGGAAATCTGCACGCATACTAGATGATTTCTCCACTCCTCGGCACAAATTGCAGCTTCCGTTGCGTCTAGCTTAGTAAAGAGTGAGAACAAGATCGGCCCCATTTTTTTCGCATTCGATTTTGGTCACAAAGTAGGTACCGAAACGAAAGGTCTCGCCAAGCCGATCGCAGATATGTCAGTCTCAGGGTGTACCTATTTAACGTTCCAGAGATATCGTATGTGCGTATTCTGTTCTCGCAGAAAAATACAAATATTTCAATACATTTAAGTATGTTTTAACGTACTCAGCAGTCTATATGCCATGTCATGGAATATTTTTATTTGTGAGACGAAATTGATGAATTAGGTGTACTCAAAAAAATATCTTACTAACGCAGGTAGATTTCTAGGTGTAGCAACAAAAATTTATCGCTATTTTGTTTATCTGTTAGAAAATTGTTTGTAGCCTACAAAATTTATAGCAGCAATATTCTGGTAATACCTTCTGGAAAGTTAGGTTTTATAACTAAATATTAATCATTCACATTGGAATAAAAATGAGTTTCAATACCATAGCTAGAACAATCTTTGTAGGAATATCATTGTTTATGTACCACAATCAAACGTTACAATGGATGGGCGCCGTAGAAAGACTTTCTTCCTAACATCCGTTAACTCGCTAGTTCAGATAGAAATTCTATTTCGGTCATTTAAATTGATTAAATACTAAACATATGCAATTTTGTAGTGTCGACTATACATTTATATGTATATCTCAGAAATTTTTTCGTGCTTAGAAAATTGTTGCCGCAGTTGCAAGATCATTTTTTGAAGTGTGGAATCGTTAGAACTTTAAACAGACCGATGATCGTCCTTAAAAGCTACGAGCAGGCGTTTGGCTCGTTATTTTCGCCAACATCCCACTTATCGTCTTAAAATCGATCGGTTAGCTATTTTTTATTCCTAGAAGAGCGGTAGCTCCAAACGCTAGAGACAAGAAAGAAGTTGCTGCGCGTCGAGACTTTCACGCGAGCGCGTGCGTGACACGAGGCTCTTAGAGGATGGATCTGCATCAAAGTTTCGCCGCCTCTTTTGCCACGTATTCTCGTGACATCTGGCACTCGGCAACCTTGTTTGTCCCGTTGAAGTCAGCATAATTGGGTACCGTGCAACAAGGGCGATCGAGCGGCTCCGATTCAGTACGCCGAATTAATGCGCACGCTCTAAATATTCCATCTCACATCGTACACCCGACGCAATAAAAATATATAACGTTACATGCGCCACATTTGGGTTACACGATACTTTCTTAAGTCACATTTCTACAGACACGAACACATATTAATTATCTGTAACATTATACGAAGTAAACATATTTGTTCAGCCTAACGGCACGAAGATGAAAACTCGTTTGCAAAAATTACAAGGGATTCCTACGGTGTAGCGAGATTGGCAAAGCATTGAGTCCTCGAAAACAAGCCGTAGAGATAATTTACGACTCATTATGCGGGGTTACGCTAACAAGACGTCGGGGAAAAAAGGAAGGGCGCGTGTGTTCGCTGATGGGGGAACGCGTTTACATGAGATTACAGGTACATTTTGTGCCCGAGACGCGTCCGTAAAGTCGCGTCGAAAGGAGCGCTCGTACAATCGCCCTTGAAGAAGAGCGCAGAAGTATATGCGTGCGATTAATTCATCAAGTTATGGGGAACCCTCGTCGTCGTAGGGCTCTCTCCGGAAGATCCTGGCAAGCATCTACCGAAAACGAGTTCACGCTGCGAATCGTCGACGGACGACCGGGCCGCTCCGAAAATTGCCGGACATTCGCTCTCTCGAGTGGAGAACAGTCGGCGAAACATTATGGGCACGCAACCGTCGGAATCCGCAAAAAAGAAATCTTTCCATTTCGATCGGGGTGAGACTGGCTGCTGCCCGAAGTTTAAGCTTCGTTTACAGGTGCGTCACGCTATCCGCCGCGCGATCACGCTATCACTGCTATCTCGCTTCTCGATGAAACTGAATCGTCGTCTTGTTTATTGGCCCTGACGCCCGTGACGAGCACATTTTATTACCGCGTGTAATACTTAAGCAGGGAAGAAGTATCGCAGGGGTAGCAAGAATCGTGAGAAGAATCGTGAACCGGTTAGCCTTCTCCGAATTCCTGTCCTTTTCCCGTTTTTTACCTTTAAGATCACTCATTACACGTCTGTAACCGTAACAAATTATTCAATAATTCATAAACCACACGCAGTACTACTTTTCATCATCGCTTCGTCCCCTTGTATTCTATTTTCGTATCCTACTGTCTATTCGCGTCACTCAAAAAAATATTTTACCGACGCAGGTAGAGTTCTAGGTATCGCAGAAACATTTATCGCTATTTTTCGTATCTGTTAGAAAACTGTTTGTAGCCTGCAGACTTTATAGTAGCAAATTCAACTAATATCTTCTTGAAAGTTTAGGTTTTGTGACTAAATATTAATCGCTACACTCGGTAAAAATGAATATCAGCACCATAGCTAGAACAATGTAAATATCTAAGTATATCTCATGAGATTCAATTTAAAAGATCATCGGATCTTCAGAGATTTGACACTTTCCTTAAATGTTCGAGGTTATCTATTAGATTATTTAACGAGATCTCAATAGATAATAACATCAAATGTTAAGAAATATATATTTGTTGTATGTATAGTACGGTGCATTAATTTGGTTCGGGTAATAATTAGAGATGGGGAAAAATTACTTGATTATTTAAACATAGAGCTTTTTGCTGCTACGACCCGAACCGAATTAATGCACCGCACTGTACTGCATTCAAACTTTACAACGAATGGGCGCCACAGAAAGACTTTCTTCCTAACTTTCACTAGCACTTCAGATGTAAATTCTGTTTCCGTTATTTAAATTGATTAAGTGCAAAACAATGCGATTTCGCAGTATTGGCTATTTATTTATATCTTTTTGTACCTAGAAAATTGTTGCTGCAGCTGCAAAGTCTTTTTTATTTTGTGATATCCATAGATACATATTGACCCATACTTATTTAAAATGCACTCTAAACTTCTAACACTTTGTAAAATATCATTTTAGAAGTTCACGCAATTTTTAAAATATAGTCGAATCTTCGCTGACTGCGACGGCGAAGTACAATTGCATCCCGCATTTCATCGGAAGAGGTCAAATCATTGATCGGCGTAAAGTTTCCGCGAGTTTAAAGTCACGACTTGGAGCACGAGTGACTACGCGTTGGTAGCTGTCGTCTCTACTTTGCGGGTGAACCGTGGATATGACGTTATACAATGCGAGGCTTGGCTTATACCGATGATATAACATGAGAAGGTCACAGACAAGTCCCATCGTTTCTTGTAATGTGCAACCGCACGTTTACAATTTCTTCATTCTTTCACGGCGTTGTGTGTGTGTATATTAAAACTTTTACAGATGAATTCTTAATAAAATTAATACGCCTTAACGTTTAAATAATCTTCCTTAATCAACTAGTAACGATTGTGAATAATAAAAACGATTAACGAAAAATACAATAATATACGAAATTCTAAGATAAAGTCGCGAACGTAGTTCGCTCGAATCTAAATCAAAACTTTCACTCTCCCCACAATAACAAATTGCAATTATGGTTACGTCACACAGTGATCAAGTAGCGTAACAAAATTGTTAGTGAGTTTAGGAGCCCTTTGGCAATGGCGAGAAATTAAAGGGCCGACCATTAATTGATTGTTACAGTTATTTAATCGAGTTACTATCTCATACATATAAATCAGGATGTAAATCAAGAGCCACGTAACGCGCAGTCAATCTAGGATCTAGATAAAACTGCGGCTATGGACGCGGTAGCGTGATAGCTAGATTCCAGATCGCGCGTATAAGCTTCGTGTTGCTTCGACTTTACGACGACAGCAGCCGACGGAGCCAACGGCGATCGCCGGCATTGCTACCATTGCAACGACAACAACAACGACGACGCGCATTGCTCTCGGCATGATTTGTAACGCCGCGCGCCGGCTGAGGGTTTCTCGTTTTCTAATGCCGTCCCGAGAAACGGGAACGATAAATTAACGCCGATACAGCGTACGATAAACCGAGAACTCGATCGCTGAGCGGGAATGAATTGCAGGCGCGTGTTCTTCGCGGAAAACGAAGAAGGATAGGATGCAGGTGTAAATGCCAATAGGCGTAAGGAGAGCGCGAATTCGTCTGTAAATCTTTCGCGCCGTGATATCTCAGGGCTGAAATAGAAGCTAGCGATATTCGTTTATAATATTGTGAAAAAGGTAACCGCAATGAAGACACCAGAGGATCCAACCAATCTTCCCGCGTGACAGATTAAAAGGCAGAAAGACTTTGAAAAAAAAAAATTGAAAACTGGCACAGCTTTACGCCAAAATTAAGAATTAGTGGCAATTACGACGGCTTATATTCAATTATTCCTTATATCCACAAATTACAACCGGTTATTTTTAATTTGCACAAAGTTTCATAAGAAAGAAAAATGAACGAACCGTCGATTAAATCACTACTTTTTCCAAAGCCAAGTCTACCACGGTGGTCATTGAAAGAACATCGTTCGTCCTCGGTGATGCATGACCACCGAGGCTGGACCACCAAGGCACTTTTCTTCG